TAAAACTGTAGAATCACTTCATGTATCCTCATCTAAAACCTTAAGTCCATCAGCCCTGCTGACATCTTTCTTCTCTGATTCATACAGGACTAAAATAATCCGATATTTTTCTCTTTGGTGCAGGAGTCCTCTTTAAACCTGAACTTGTACCCTCTGACTTTTTGACTGAACTATCACTAACCACACAGTTACTTTCTGATACATCCATTTCGACATCTGTTGAATCTGGGACAGGACTGTCCCTTTGAAATGCACTGCCACCTTCACTAGATTTCAAAGAAGTAGATGTTTGTTGAAGGTCCTCAGTTGTTATTCCTGATTTGAGTCCACTTTTACTCTTTGAGCTACTTTCACAAATCTTTAGTGGAGTGGTACACTTTTGCTCTGATCTTCTACCTATAAAATTTCCTTTGTCTAAGCTTTCCTCAATCATGCTGAGACATGAGCTGCTGCTAGGAGTCTGAAGAGATACTCTCTTTACTACTTTTGATTCATCCATTTCACCACCTTGCTCTTCATCAGAATCAAAGTCTTCAATGAGAGAATCCAAATCATGTGCAGTCAAATCAGTACCAGCGCAATTACTACCAGATGCTCCATCTGGTGTTGAAGGTTGTGATCGACTTTTACGTTTCACGAACTCTGAGGGTTTAAGAGAGAGCGCAGAACAAGAAACTGTAAGACAGAAAACAGGAAGAAGCAGAATTTCAGCATTATCACTACATGATTATTTATGTACAATGTTTAGGACAGATTCAAGACAAATGCATTTGACATTAGCATGAAAAATGCAATACCTTTATCATCAGGATCCTTTAAGACTGAAGAATAAAGATAATCATACAGATCTGGGACATTGTCGGTGATAGTCTGAGCAACGAGTCTGCTGTACTTGGTAAGCAAAGTCCAGAGTTTACCTTGAAATGAAGAAACTTGGTATAAAAGAAGAAATAATTGGTAAAGGACAAACATATAAATGCAAGTGGTTTAACTTACCAACATTAACATCATTATCCATCAAAAATTTGTACATTCCATAAATACGATCCCGTAAATTTTTATCACCAAAGGTGAAGTACACAACAGCCCGCCCAGACTCTCCTGCAGCCACTAACTGTAGTAAAGCTTTCACATTTGCATCCCCTCGAAAAGCACCACAGCCCCAATTACCAGTAGCAACAGGAGCTAGCTTGTTGTCACCATGGTCTTCAGTTTCACAGAAACCAACATAAGCCTATGGAAAAAGAGTAAAGATAAACTCAAAAATATCAACAACAACAACAACAAAAAGGGGGGGGGGAGGATGAAGTAAAAGAAGGATATAGAAAATCTTACCTTGTTAACTTCTCTAACCAAGTTTGGTAAAAAAAATTGGCTCGATGGTTTGCTGAAGCAAAGGGCATCCATAGCAACAATAGAGCAATGCCTGCGTCCATAAGAATCCAACGGTGTATCATCTTTGAAGTCACTAACCCATTCAAATGAATGCCCATAACCAGCATATTTACTGAAGCGCTCACAACCAACAATTATAAGGGCTTCTGTTGCATCTAAGCACTCAGTAAAAAGACGGCTAACAATTAACTCAGGACAGATAACAAAGCGTATTTCCTCCTGCACACAACCCCATCCAAGAACACCACCTCCAACAAACCTGCACAATTTAGAAATATTACATTTATTTTCAACTACTAGGGTAAAAGACCACTTTCAAAGCATACAGAGCTTAAAACATACTTATTGGCAAAGTCCACCTGAAGCATACCAGATCCTTCATCCTCTATAAAACCATGACTTGTAATGTGCATTTTAGGCAACGGTTTGGTGCTTTGGCCCCAGTTTGGAAAAGATCCAGGAGAGATATATCGCCTTGAGAAGGTAACAACACCTTCATGGTCCGAAGCATCTATTTGAAGGAAAATATAAGTAAGCAAATAAATCAAAAAGGTATGCAAAAAAGGACAGAAAATTTAATTGTATACCTGTTAGACATATTCTTCGGAAATAATTTAAAATACATTTCAATTTTTCTAGCACACTGTTTGAGTCACTGTTGTCACCACACTGAAATAACCTACAGAAAAACAAAGGAAAATTCAGATTTTTATTTTTAAAAACCTCACCATTATTTAAATATAGGACAACAATTATTGTATACCTGTTAAAATTAATATCTGGATAAGCTGCATATTCTGATCCTCTTTTGGTGGAATTTCTTCGTGGAAAGGTACAAAAGAAAGCATTTGCTAAAATAGAGGCTATTTGAGCTTGGCTAAGACTGATGGTATGATTTTTGTGTTTTTTTAGGAGCGGTATAGGACCTGTAATGAGTTCTGGTAACTGCAGAGCTAGTACTACCATTGCTGGCAAGACATCACGAAAGAAATACTCGCTTTCCTCACTATCCAGAGCCTGTGAGTAAATTAGTTTTGGATCAAAATCATGAATGCGCTTCTTAATTTCAGCAAAGCAAACCAGGGGAAAAAAAATTCAACAGTTGTACAAACCTCTTCAAATAATGTGTGCAAGGCTCTAAAATTCCATCGCTCATTATATCTTGAGTTGTAAGAGAGAATGGCAGCTTCAAGCTCATGGCTGTTTTGAATGGGTCGTAAAAGAGCTTCTTGGACAAGCTCCCATCGTAATCTTAGCCCTTTCTCATCTCCTGTCTTTGAAGATTTACAAATTAATTAAGGTGTGCTAAGAAATAGACGAATGAAAGGACACGAATTTGAAAATCTTATCCTTCTAACCTCCTGCACAGGATACAAGCTTTCTGAAGAATTAGGCATTCGGACATGATCTTGATCCCAACGATCACAAGGTACACGAGGGTATGAATATGGTAAGTTTCCAGGCTTCCAGGGGACCTATATAACTCAAAGAAGAAGTCAATTAGAATAGGTATACATTAAAATATCCCCCAAAATTATTTTTTCTACCACATACCTTGTAAAGAACAGTGTGATTTGCAGATGGGTGAACGGTAGGAAGTGGAGGTGGCCCCCAGTCACCATTACCATCTCTAAGGTCTGATATGGAAAACCCTTTCCCATCGTCAACCCTAGTCCCTTTAACAGGGGACTTGTCAACTTCTATCCTCCCAGAAGCAGGGTCATCATCTTCACTCACACTCATGCGTTCATCTTAGAATTCAATGGAAAATTCATTTAGAGAACAGTCTCTTGCAAAACAATGTGAATACAGAACTACAAAATATAATAGGTAAAGAGGCTGTTTTGAATCCCTCACCCTCAGTATGATGTGTCACGCATTCCGAAGTTCCTGCAGCGCATTGGTCATTTTTTTCTGCAGATGACATTTTGTATGAACATTAAGAAAAGGGTTGGTAATGAAGTTGCTTGCTTGCTGAAACAGAGAAATGAATGAGTTCTGTAATAAGTACGGTATGACAGCACCTAGACACTTTCCAGGGAAAAGATTTACAGGACAGAGTAAAACTTTTATAACATAGACATCAAGACGGTTTATGTTTAAAAACGAATTACCTGTAGCCCCAACTGGGGATCTTTCCAGTTGATGACAATATTTATTTACTATTTTTTATAAGGTTAGGGTGGCGATTGCTTGGAGGTGGGTGGTATACGTTTCCATGTTATAAGGAGAGAGAAACAAAAATCGGTCTATGACAGAACATGAAACAAATGCTTCTGGTATCACCTAATCGATGGCATGTCACCTAAACTTCAACATACAACGATAGATATCAAATTGTAATTCTTTTCGAAAATAAATTACGAACACAAACAGTTGCCGCCGGGGTTGCCGCTTAATGCACAGCCACCTCGATATCGTAGGCTGTAGTAAAACATTACTAAGCCAGATGGATTCTTCAGTCGTCTGCAAGAGGACAACAACCAGCAGAAGACCTGTTCTGCTGCACAATGACAACCACAACAATAACGCGTCAGATTGAGCTCAGATGATTTCAGCTGATTGTGATCATGAGAGCTGATGGAACAAGACAAATAGCACAGTCGCAACTTCATATTGTGAGACTTAAACAGTATCTTTGATTTTAACTGAAGGGTATTCTTTTATTAAGGCTTCACTTTGGTTAGTGAGGTACTCAAGGACATTTCAATGATCAAAAACTTGTACATTGCAAAGTGTCAACCATGTCGAGAGCATCTAAAGCTGTCCCAAGGCCCAGATCTGGCATCCCTAAACCAAAGCCAATCATAAATGCTGTGCAAAAAAGGCGATCAGCACCTCCTGATGGTTTTGTCAATCATCTCGAGGCTGTATTCCAGCAACAGAAAGATGACGATAAATACTTGACTAAAAGAGTGATTCTGCATGCACGAAAAACTGGTCAACTCAATCTGTCTGGCAAAGGCCTTTCATCAGGTATAGTAGAAAAGTTAACTTAGTCTTACTTTTGGCCTTGTAATCGTTGTAGTTTGACTCTGATAATTTGACTTGTTGTAGTACCGAAACGAGTATGGAGCCTAGAGGAAGCAGAGGAAGAGATCAAACGAATTGATCAAACTTTTCTGAAAAGTGAACTTGATGAACAGACTGATGAAGATGAAGGTGATGTGAGATGGTGGGAAAGGAAGGCTCTGACAGTATTGGATCTCAGCAGTAATCGTATTACAGAAATACCCCTTGATATCAAAAAGCTGGAATACTTGACATCTCTTGATGTAAGTAAAATATAAATAGCACTTTTCATATTTCATATTTACCACTGGGTTTAATGCTTGCTTCCTCTTACAGCTACATGATAACAGTATTGATGCACTTCCTGAGGAAATTGGTACTCTAGGACGACTAGAAAAACTGGACATTAGTCATAACCAATTAAAGAAGTTGCCTAAAAGTTTCTATGACTTGGGAGAGCTTCGTACACTGTCCTTGGCTCATAACAAGATTCAAGATATATCTGAGGATTTAGGCAATCTTTACCGCTTGGAAACACTTGTGAGCTTTTTTAAAATGATAATTTCACACTTTTTCTAGTTGTTCAAAACAAATTGAAGTTTATACTCTTAAAACAAAGCAAAGACCTACTGTATTTTAATTTTAAAATTTCAGGACCTTTCACATAATGATATGGCCACTTTACCTCTCGGTATGGGGTTCCTTACTGCGCTCATAAAGTTTGATGTGTCTCATAACCACCTTTCTGAGGTGCCACCTGAATTATCTGGTCTAATGGGTATGCTATTCTTCAGTTGAGCACTTATTTTCATGCTACTAGTGGATTGTTTCAAGAGTTTTTGTGTGTTTAGGTCTGACCCAGTTGATATTAAGCCACAATGAACTGACAAACGTTCCACCTCTAGGAGAACTGCGTAAATTGCAATTACTTCATCTGCAGGATAATCGACTTGAGGCAGTGCCTGATGTGACTACCTGTTCAGCTTTGCGAGAGCTAAGTCTCTCAGCTAACCAGATTAAAGTAAAGTGTAACAATATTATCTTTCCCCATTCACAATATTGTTTAAACACACACATCTACTGAGCCATTAATTCTTGCTTTAGGAAATACCAGGAGACGTCCTGCAGCACATTAGCCATCTTCGCGTTTTTAATTTGAGAGAAAATAAAATTGAGGAAATTCCCGAGGAGATAAGCCACCTGCAAAGCCTAGTGAGATTGGATCTCGCAAACAACAATATTGAAGAGTAAGTAGATTCAAGTTAAAAGTATCTGTTTTTGTTGTTGCTGTTGTTTCCTTTTTTTAATGTGCTCTATTTTCTATTTCTACTTTTCAGTGTCCCGTCATGTGTTGGATTCTTACCTCAGCTTCAAATTCTCTCACTAGAAGGAAATCCCTTGAAAAAAATACGGCAAGACATGTTACACTGTGGCTCGGCCCGCCTCCTTAGAATGTTGCGTGGACAGAGCGATCCAAATCAAATGTCTCCTCGCGCCAAGATTAACCTCCCTCGTTCGGAGAAACCACTGCTTCCTGACAAGTATGCTTCCGTGCTTGATGCACACTTTGTGTCATAAAGGGTGGCCCGTCGACGCTTTTCTGTTTTTCTGGATTTACTGTACCGTATATGCGTGCGGACGGGTTACAAGCTTGCACGGGCCCACACGGCTGCACCTGGTGGTTCAGTATAACCAAAAGAAAGAGCGGTTCCGATGTGCCACCCTCTGTTTACTGCTGTCTGTAACCCAATCTCTCTATACAGGTATCGCATGAGGGGAAGTCGTGCAATGAGCTTGGGCATGCAGGGCTTGCAGGAGGTCCCAGATAGCCTGTTCGACGACGCCGTGGAGGCCGAGGTGGAGTCCGTCGACCTGTGCAAGAACCTGCTGACGTCGGTCCCCGTGAGGTAGGCCACTCGCCGCACAGGGGTGCGGGCCCCCGCTCCGGTTGCCTACCCCGCGATTCGCAGGGGCTCCCACCTCGGCGCTGTCATACTCTGACGCCACATTCACCACGTTGCGTTGCCCACAGACTGCCACTCCTCGCGGCGACCCTCACGGAGCTCAACTTGAGCGACAACCGGCTGTCCTGCATTCCGGAGGGCGTGCTGGGTGCGTGCAAGAAGCTGCACTACATCGACCTGCAGCAAAATGCGCTGTGCGCCCTCCCCGACGACCTGGCCGAGCTCACTCATTTGCGGGAGATCAACTTCGCATACAACAAGTGAGTGCCTAGAGTATGCGAGGACGACTGCCCACGCCTGTTGCGTACTCTGACAGTGTGGTGCTCCAGGTTCTCCGAGCTGCCCCGTGTCCTGGGGAGCATGCCCGGCCTGGAGATCATCAACGCGCGCGACAACAAGGTGTCGGTGATCGACGCGCTGCTGCTGGCCACGGTGCCGCGCCTCGCCGTGCTGGACCTGGCCAACAACGACATCAACCAGGTGCCGCCCGAGCTGGGGCTGCTGTCCGGGCTGCGCTCGCTCAGCCTGGAGGGCAACACGTTCCGCATCCCCCGGCACGAGGTGCTCGCCAAGGGCACGGCCTGCGTGCTCAGCTACCTCCGGGACCGCATCCCCGCCGAGACGCTGACGGCCATGCGCGCGCAGATGGCGAAGGCCGCGGGCGTGCCGTCGCCCGAGCTGGGCGCGGACCCGCCCCGGCAGAACAGCTACACTTCGCAAATAGTGTTTGGGTAGCCAGGCGGGGCGGCCCACCCTCCGACAGGACAGGGGTCCCGCACGAGGGACCGGACACCACACATGAGTGTTTAACGAGACACCGGTCACCGTGCACAACGAGCACACGCAGTGTCTGCCTCCCGTGGTCGGAGGGGGTGGCGTCGACGCCCGCGAGTTTGCAGTGCAGTCGCCGAGGCCACCCCCGCCCCACAGCACATCACGCAGGGTGCCACGGGGAGCCGTCCGCTGCTCCACGTCACGTACCTGGTCGACGCCCACCTACGCTACGCACTTTGTACCTGCTGCTGCGACTTTATGAGCCCTTTTACTCAGGAAATGTTTTGCTCTGTTATGGCGTGGTTACAATTGGTATTCTGTGTGATACCGTTGCGCATTGTAGCCACGCGCCCGTTTACCTAATTCGTACACATTTCGTAGGTATATTAGCATGTGATTATTCCTCTAGTCTTTGGGTCTCTTCTAATGCGTTCGTCAAGCGGAAAGTAAGTTGCCTTGCTGCACATTGAGCGACACAGGCACGAATGTTGACTAGGGTTGCATATTCTAGGAGATCTTGCAATTGCCCTTTGTGAATTTCTTTCCTGCCAACCAATCCTATTCTTTGATTTCAAAACGAAAAACAGATCAACTTTTAAATTGTGTATTATTTGCAAAGTACGCAATGATATTATTTCGTACCTGAATGAACTTGTACTGCAAATGCCGATGGCGCAAGGAGCCTTCTCTATTTTTAGATATCCTTTTACTTCGTCTTACTCCTTTGGGGCGTTTTCCCGGCGTTTGTCTGTTTGAAGGGAAATGTATTGTTAATCCTCAGCGTGCGAAGCAGTGAACGTGCTCCAGTGAAAGTTACTAGTAAACAACGCCGGGGCCGGGAGCGTCCCTTAACGCCTAATTTGCATTTGCGGTGCAGCCGGTGCCAAGTGTACTTTAGCACATCCACATAGAAAAGACAGGCCCTCGCGAGGGAAGATATATACAATATGGCGTTACCAATGTATTCAGCCAGGTTACTTTTACCAAACACTTTTCTATATTTTTTAAAAATTAACTTTAATTTTTGGATTGATATTACGTTTTATAGGGCTGGGTGCAGGTGCACTAGCAACTAGAATCGGGGTGTGGTATTATGCCCCAAGCTTCATAGGGAAGGGTTGCTTTTTTTGCTTCTTGTTATTTTTTGTGATGTTTCCATTTTATTAGTTACCAACACTAGTACAAATACCTTTATTATTGTTTTTTTTTCTTTTTTTGCATCCCTGCGTACCATTTATTATTATAATTTTAGCAATAAGGAAATTCAAAGTGTGGTGCTAGTGTTCAGTATTCAGTGTGATAATGAATGGTGTGATCTAGTTAGAAAAGAAAACAAATCAGTGTTTGTGTGCAGTTTGCTTTATATGGGTGAGGAGACCAAGAGATAGATGCCAGAATGTGGCTATGACTTGTTTGTAATTGTTATATGATATTGTATATTTAGATTCAATGGCAGTTTACTCATGCTGTTGTGAGGTTATTAAATGTGGAGACAGTTTTCTACAAAATATCTTCCTCTAAAAACAAATTTCTCTAAAAGTTTTCCTCTGGTCCCTCTCCTTTTCTCTAATTAAGCTTTTTGGGATTTCACCTGTACTGCTTGGTGTCTTATGTGTTTAGTCAATTTCTATTACCTAAACTAGTCAGAAGCATATCTTAAACAATGTGTATCTTTTTCAATACCATTTTATCTTATGTGAATACGCATGCTTGCTAGTCCTTACTCAAGTACCTCTTCAATGTGGGCACGGTTGTGGGTTTTTTGCCTTTTTACTCTTTAGACAAATAGTAATATACTCGTTTTTATTGAAAAACAACAAAAGTGTGTATCTTATTTCAGTTAATAGTGTTGTTTTGTCTGTTTTGAACCACTATGACTGGAAAAATAATGTCTCTGTCACAAAACGGCGTTTTTGTCGAAATACAACGTTAAAAGACATTAGTGAAAGGACTGTCATTCGACCACACTGTCCTGCTGAGAAACAAACGACAATACCCCCCCC